AAAAAAAAAAAAAAGTCCATGTGAAAGATGAAACAGCCACAAATTCTGCACAAAGGGGTTGTGAGTTAATGTGAATCCAGATTCACGTATCCCAGGATAACAGGGTCTCGTTATTTCTCTTTCATTGTATTTAAAAAATCTAATCTAATAAAAAAAAAAAAACTGATATTTAATGTCACCTGATGCCAGTCGAACATTCTCGTCAGCTTGTGGTTCATAACCATTTCCCATGTCAAAAAGTTCGACCCTCTTACCCCCAAGAGTGCTCATGTACCTGACAGCCATATAACATAAAAAGTAGAGAAGTAACAACACGGAAAAAGGGAAACATAATATGGACATTATCAAAAGAGCATAAGTTGTCTCAAACATTGTCACAATTATGCACACAGTTTATTTGTGATTTACAGCAATTCGTATAGAAAATGCAGCTTCTGAATGTTAGTTAGCTTATACGATTTTAGTTGTATTATACAACATAATATATCATACACGGATTTATAACAACTTCAAAATCAGTTTAACCGAACACCGTCATAATTAAATGAATTATATACAAACTACAGGCTGCAAAATGTAAACTAACCATAAGAAAGAACTTACGTCTTTCTCAAAGCTACATACGAGTTCAACTCTTTTATCTGCACAAAAAAATAAATAAATAAAAATTAAGATATATATCACCACATAAAAGATACAATGAATGGTTATTCTTCCTCAGGGCACCAAGGAGGTCAAATAAGTCTAATAAAAATCTACTCAGGATGAACTCCAGTCATGTATGGAAACAAAAAGACCATATGAAGTAGAGAATATCATAGTTTATCACAGCAACTGACAATTCACACCACACATCCAGCAGTTTAGACACAGCAACTGAAAACCTATATGATTCATAGTTTATCCTGTATGCATATATTACGATGGAAATAATAGCCTGTCGAAGAAATAATTTTACCAAGGGGTAATAAAAACCTGAAATAGCAGCCGAGGAGATAATCCCACTTCTCAGTTCATGTGAACTGCCAAGCCAAAAGGCAAAGGGAGAATAATAATTTTCCTGCCCACCCTATTGATCTTATGCCTCAAGTATAGCTATTACAATCATAAGAAAATAAGATGAAATATAAAATCCCTATGGTAATGGAGCTTAAGCTTAGTATTTCATATTTGTTCTCTTTCCTTCCTTGGTGCTTGCTAGCAAGATATTCCTGATCACTTTTTCCTCTTAGCATTCACAGTAATTGATCTCTCCGTTCGGAGGTACTTCTCAATCATAAGCATTCAACAATTCAAAAGTGCTGACAGGAAAATGTGTGCAACTTCAGGTCAGGTGTGGAATATCATTTATCATCATCATCACCCAAGCTACAGACAAATTCTATATCATCAAGATTTCCAAAAAAGAAAAAACGACTTCATTATGGTATGGTCGCACACAAACTGGCATGACTCAAGAACACAACAATGTAATCACCAATAAACGAATGCGAGTCAGATACAACTAATTCCAAGTTCTCCAACATGCTTACCATGGATTGTTTCTCATCATTAAGCTGCTTGGTCACCCCAGGAGAATTCCTACTTTCCTCTTCTTTAATTTCAAGATCAAATTCTTTAATCAGTCTGAAAGTTCACAACAAATTGGTAGATTATAGATGGAGAATGTTTTCATTTCTTCCCAAGATCTTTAATGCACAATGTAGTTATAACTCACTCCAAGTAATACGACATGATTCACACTACACATCGTGCACTTACCTTTTACACTCCCTCATCTTCCCTGTAAGTTCCTCAAGCTGTTTGCTTTGTCTGTTCGAGTCTTTGATTTTGTCCACCTTTTGAAAGCCATTTCTGGTCACAAATCACATGAAAAAATAATCAACTTTTATTACCAAAAGATATGTCCAATCTACATCCTACTCATCAGCAATACTTACAGCTTAGGTATACAAAACATAAGGTCGGAAAATTTAAATTCATAAGTGGACTAGCTTCAAATTTCTGAACCCATAAAAAAAAACGCGATTTCATTTAAATACTAAATTTGGAAAAGAATACATTATCAACTAGAAGCTCAGGACAAAGTAAATTGACAAAATGAATCTCCAATGCAATTAGCATCCTCTTCGCCACAATGAATAAGCTTGAGTAAAGCATTTGATAGCTGACAACACAGCAAATGTGCCACCCAGGAACTATTTAGCAAGAAAAAAACATCTATGCTCTGGTAAAAAAACAAAATCATATACTCGATAAAAACATTTTATCTACATCGAAGATAGGGGCAGGAGTCTTCCCTATCCTAGAATTATGCAAACACAAGTAGAATTCCAAAACTTGCCATCTAAATCAACAAATGCACGAGTGAACATGGTGGTGTTCTCCTAGTCCTTACAGAGAAAACAAACAAACAAACAAACACAAGATCAGCAAATGTTGTGCCTTGATAATATATATGAATCACACAGCTGACAGCAGCAAATCAACTCGAAAGCAAGCAGCTGCATATCGGCATTGCCCAGAAAGATCATGACACGAATATCTCAAGGGGGAGAGGAAGAGAGATTACGCAAGGGCACGGATTGTATCGCGAATTTCGCCATGGATCTGCTCCATCTGAGGGTTCATCTGTAACGCCGGGCCAGCCATCGTTAACCCCTCTTTCCGTGACCACCCTTCGCCTTCAGATTTGTAACGAAAACCGAAAATGGGCTCGCCGGAAAACGAAAACGGCCACCAACTGAAAGCCTGTATCGCAAATTCAGGCAATGCTGCGTAAAACGGAGGATCTGAAGAGGAAAAAGGAAAGGGTAATGGGGAAATTGAGATTGGGAGGAGAGAAGATCTCCCGGAGAAAGAGAACAATTGGGATGGTTTTAGGGGTTCAATTTGGCCGTTGACCGTTGCAGAAAGAAAAAAAAAAAAAA